TACTTTGATTTTCAAGCCGCTTTCTACATAGGCTGAACATCCATAAGGCTTTTCCAATCAGGGTCCCTTCGAGAAAGCAGGGTTGTTCACCCAAGACTTGGGAGGGCAAGCGGCAAGCGGGCCAAATTTACTTGCGATTTGATGTATTTGTCCTAGGGGCCTTTTTTGAAGCACTTTCCGAGATATCCGGTGCCATTGGAAAGGCCTTCCAGTATCACAGAGATCCATTTGGGGGAGCAAGGGTGCCCCAACCCCTTGTTTAAACTTAAACAGCCTGCATTTGGTTTCTCCAAGCGAATCGCATCTGGTTGTTTCAACCAATTTTTGCAACGGACCCTAGTTAAGACTTCTTTTGGGGTTCTAATTTGAACCAAAGGCAAACTGCCGGTTTTTTGACTAGACATCGCCAAAACTCGCCTTCAGGAGTGCTAGGACACACAACCGATGGCTTCCAAAGGTCTCAGGCCCATCGCAAATTCTTCAGCGCTCAAATCGGCGCTGAATATGCAGGGCTCCTTAAAAGATCTCCATTTTGCAACCATTTGAAACATGGTGTTTTGTTCTGCCAAGATAAAGGGACACCACCATTTACAAGTTGCAATGTTCAGGTGTATCATGTAAGGATCCCTGGTGGATCCCAAATTCTTCGGTAAACGGTTTCGCACACGGCGCGTTTTCGGCTTCTCGCAAGGAGCTGGACACCTCAGATGCCCCGGAGCCACGTTGCAAGAGGCGCGCCCTGCGCCTTCGGGCTTCGGGCCGGTTGGGTCCGGAGGGAAATCAGACATCAGGCGCAAACACGGCACCCAAACTACACACCCAATCCCCCCTTTTGACTTTGGGCCTCGTTCGGTTGCAAAAACGCTTCCTTTGCCCTGCTGCTTGTTGGTGGGAGGGATGTTGTGGTTGTCTCTGAATGCACAGAAGGCCTGTAGCAGCTTGAAATATTTATGGTGTCACCCATGTTGGGCCTGAGCAACCTTCGGTCTGGGAGGTTTTCCAGGTGTCCTTGGTGAAATTGTCGTGGGATGGATAGATCCACGTCTTCGGTTTCCGGGGGCCTCTGCTTTGGCTTCTTGAAACGGACTCCCAAGGGGATGTCCCGAGGAACGGTTTTTTCGGGCCCGGAGAACCACCCAAGTACCCCCCAGTCCCAAACCCTAAACGTTTTTGGACTTGGGGTTTCAGAGCACCAACAAACAAAAACAAGCCTACCTGCGACCTGCCGGACATGCGTGCATTGTCATGTTTCGTGGGTGCCCTGAAAAGCTGTGGTTTGCTGAAAAGGGAACCCAAGGAACCCAGCAGTTTCCTTGCCTTTTGTTCTCCCTTTTTTTGGAGGGGGGGAGGAAGGGGAGAGCTTTCTATGGGCCGACAGTGACAGGCCCGTCATCTGAGTTTCATTCCGGATGGGAGGTTCCCTCCCAATGAGCCAAGAATCAGCACCCAATGTCCTCCCATCGCAGCCTTGGCATGCGACTCGAACAGGGGCCGAAAGGCAATCATCAGGGTTACCCTCGGGTGGGTTGGATTGGTGGGAACTGGATTTGGATTTGAACGGGTCCCTGGTTCTTGCGGGGAATGTTGACCCAGGATTCATAAACCCGTCCCATTATTAGGGGGGTGTTCCCTCCAAAAGTGGTCTGAATCCCCACTAAAAACGGAAAAGCACCCCCCAATCAAAATCAGCCAGGGGTTGATTTATCCAGGGTGAACAAATCTCGTGGGAGAGCAATCCAAGCCAGGGGAAGCCGACCCCCCCACACGCCAGCGCACCGCTCTCGCGCAGGCGCTGCTTCACCGGGACTGCCATCACCCTAGGGCAGGCGGGCAACTTGAAGCTCGGGGAACTTCGGGGTTTGGTTTTTTCTTCCCCAAAGAGGAGGGGGTTGGTATGAACCCAAAGTACTGTGGATGGTTGCGACATCTCACACCACTTGGAAACCATGGTTGAAGCTTGAAGCCATTTTTGGTGGTTATTTGCAGGGAGATCGTCATTTCAGGGTTTCCTAGGTGGTGCAGGATTTCGTCCATCCACAGTACGGAGGTCCCGGAAGAGGGTCCCGTGTAGACGGTGCCGTGTTGAGCGGCAGCTCCGGCCCTCTTTTGTGGCCCCTTGCCATGGCAAAGCTGTGTTTCTGGTGAAGGCGTGAGAGCAACCAGCCGTGGAAAAGGAAATCCAGTGGCAAAGTAGTTGTGCCCAGCTCCAGTTACCCCTAGAACCAGAGGACCCCCTGTAAAACCTAGATGAAACAAGCTGGTTGCCTGCTACATAGGGGAACTCAATTTGATTAGTTTGGTTGCAACCCCCGAAGAAACGCCCGGATTCCCATGCCTTTCAGACTTTCACAAGTCCCAGTTCTTCCAAGCCATTCTAGGCAAGGGGAAACCATCACAGGCAGGTTGGCAGTCATCAATGTGACTTTCTCCTCGAATCGACCATGGAAGAGCTGGCTCGGGGTTCGGACTTGTCCAGACTGGTACCCAACGTCCAAGCCACCGAAGCAAACCCAACCACGGGGTCTCTGGCGGGACTCTGGGGACTGACGACTCCTTTTCAACTCGGCAGGTGGTGCAGAGAGTGCTGCCCCCGGTGGCCTTTGCGTTGTGGATCCTTTCGGATGAGCCTTGGATCGAATTCGTTTTGGAGACTCGATGGGTAGACGGGCTGGCACCAAGGGATAGTCTTGTAGCCTCCAAAAGGAGCCAATTTGTTTTCTTCACTCCAACTAAAAGTTGCAAGAGCAAACGTATCCGGGTACCGTCCCACAGGCGCCTTCTGTTGGGAGGGTAGAACCCCTTTAGGGTGTGTCTTAAAAATAGGGGGACCCCCAAGAATGGATCTCGGTTTCCTTTTGGGTTTCCTCTAAAACCACAAACAAAGGTGGCGCCTTCAAAAGGAGGACGAGCTGCCCGTTTACCCCAACTTTGGAACAGCTTTTCGCGTTTGACATGGAACCCGGGCCGCGGAAGTCGGGTCCCTGGACGGGAGGCTCCTCATGGTCACCCGTCCAGAGATTCGTTTGGGGCCGCGCATTCAGAGACCGCTGGGTTCGTTAAAGCGACATCCTCAAATTGACCCCTGAATGATAGTTGGAAAAAAACAGATGCGTTTTGAGAAATCCTCAAGATGTAGCTCAAGATGTAGCCACTTCAATGGGAGCCTTTCACTCCACTTGTCCACCCAGGGCTGTCCCGGGGCCAGTCACAAAAACATGTTTTGACTCAAAATACGCAGCAGTAAGCATTGCCTCAACGGCAAAGGATGAGCCCTATGCCCACGAGTTTATCCGAAAGTTAGTCAGCCAGTACTCCTTGCCCCTTCACCTTACAATGCCGAGACCAGTCATGCCACTGACTCCCAGCATGAATCAGAGAATGTACAACGAGTTCAACAGATATCCCAAGGAACATGTGCCATGTGCTCTCCTCGACCAATCCCTTTCGGATCCGCCCGGAAACCGTATTCGAATTCAAGGCAATTATCTTAGGAACGCCACTTTGGGCAAAATATGGTGGGATAGTTCCAATTCATACATCTCCTCATGGAAGGATCACGACGCCAGTGGCATCGCGATCGGCGGGCATTGCGCGAACTACGACTTCGAGATGCGCGTAGGCGCGCTAGAACATCCGACCGCTCGCCCTGGACCGATCTGTTTCAGGTTTGGATCTTCTGAAGCAAAATGCAACATGGCGACCCAAGGAATCAAAGGAACCCCCCCCCCCCACCCCACCCCCTGAAAGCCTTCGGTGCCTTTTGAAGCGCCTTTTGGTTCTTGGGCAACAGGTCCCAACCTGTCACAGGGCTTTCCAAACATGCGGTCCAAAGGAGCGACTCTTCCAACTCTGGCCGCATTTGCCTCATTTGGTCCTCTTTGCCTGGAACCTCGCCTTTTTCACGAAATACTTACAGCCCAGCATCTAAAAGCTTCTCCATGCAAGGAAGCACATGTTTTTTTGCTTCAACGCCCAGTCCAAATGTTTGGCCGCCCGTTTTTATCTCGAGTGACCCCAAGGCGCTCAAGTTGGCCTATTCGATATGTTTTTTTCCGATTCCACAACTGGTGAAGCTGCCGGGTAAACAACGCATTACCCGAAGGGTCGCAGAATGGATCAGAAGCCCTTCGGATTTATTCCAGTTTCACTTGATGTAATTGTGTATAGGGTTTGTGGGGCTTCAATCTAGCATCAGGCACTCTTCCGCTTGATCCGCTTTTCGTCGGCTTGCCGCTCGCCTTTTTTCCTCTTTTTTGTGTGAGTTTGTGTGAGTTTGTGGGTGTAGTGTGGGTGTCCACACCACTTTCCGATGATTTGAGTGGCCCTTCGCACGTTGCTTTCTTTCGAGGGCTCCTGCGACACGACGCATGAAAACTCTGGGGCAAGGCAAGCGGAGTAGATGCTGCTAGCAGCTTCACAGCTTTGGTTTGAAACCCTCGCTGGACTGGATTGATGACAAGCTTGAGCCATGCAGGGTCATGTTTCGGCACCCATTGTGTTCCTTAAAACCAGGATAATTAGGGTTTAGCGGTTGGGTTTCCATGCAACTCACTAAAAGTTAACAACTTTTAGCAGGTGATCCGGAAACGAACAGCCAACCACATCATGATGGATGATGGTGTCTTTCACGTTTGCTCGATGAGTTGCGCCATCCTTTGGGAATGAAACCCAACTTGGATCAATGTTCATTGGATAGCCTCCAAACCCCTCGACCAAACGGCCACTCACAACATGCTGCCCGTATTTTTGTGTTGTTCCACTTTCTCCATTAGGCCAGTTGGTGTCTTTTGCGCTTCCGTTGAAAACCCACCGTCCAGCGAGTAAAAGAGTGTATCTTTAACTAGGGCCCCTGTTTCCCCACAAGGGGGCTGCAGAGAGGATGCAAAATCTGGGAGTGATAGGTCACGCAACGGATGCTGGAGATGCTGATGATGCAAGACATACAAAGGAGAAGGATAGCAAGGGATGCAGGGCATGCAGAGGATGTTAGGCATGAGCATCGGCTTTCAAGCCGCAATCCAAGACGTCGCCATCTGTTTTCCCTTTGACTTTATCTACCAAAGAAAAGGGGGTACACCATTTTGAGACCCCCCTCCCACACTTGCGCCGTCTTCGTGGTTGGCGGTTGTTTCGGAAGCATCTGCGCAGGGCAAAGCATGATGCTTTATGGGTGTGGCTGAAAATTGAAGAGCTGGGGTTACGCAGGTTTTGGTCTTTGTGTCCGTCGAAGGGGCCAAAAAGTGGTACCAGCTTTTTGAGCCACAGCCATATGTTTCGCTACACTTCTTGTCGTTCAGACGCCGACTCCTCAAGTTTCAAAGGCGAACAAGGAACCGTGGTTAGACATTCACACCAAGCTCAACTTAGGCCCAGATTCACTTTCGCTGTCGTGCAATGAGGTGCCCGTCGGTTGCCATTTGTAAGATAGGAGGTCGCTGGATCTGTCCCCCGCCAACCCCCCAACTCCACCTTTCTTTCTGGCAGGGCGCCAGAATAATTAACTGCAGAACATGATCGAATGCAGAGGAAAGAGCAGAACATGCAGAAAGACATATATTTGTGGAAATAACATTCTTGTTAGCACAACATAGCTCCTCATGCAGTCCCTTCCCCCCACATTCCAAAGCACATGAACAGGTTCACACTTTGGGGAGCACATTGACCGAAACAACGATGCCTTTCGACAGAGCACTGGGCGAAGGAAGGAGGTCATTCAAGGCAAGAGATGCCTTCAGTTTCGGGGCCTGAAACCTGTTGAGATTTTCCGTCGTAGCATTTGGGTCCGCTGACTTCATCTTAGCCCAGGAAGCGAGACAATGCACGCCCACGTGAACCATTCCCTCCTGATGGGACATCGCCACAGGTGATTTGAGCTGAAAACAGGAAAGAACGCGACCCTTGCAGTGAGTCCGCATGAAGCAGAAGTCAGGCAGAAGACAAAAGCGCGTTTTTGGGGCAAAAGCTTTGGGCAAAAGCGGGGGCAACAAGGTGGTCGTCTAGGCAACAGGTGCTCTTTCCGTTCAGTCTAGAGGGATGTATTCCACTAGTTTCAGTTTGGTTTGCTGTTTTTATTCACCAGTGGACTCCCATCCATCAACCAAAGCACCTTGTTACACTTACCTCAAACTTCCAACCTGCAGTTTTTTCTTCGCCATTTTGTCATCCCCCGCACAGTTCAAACTCAACGTTTTGGCGCCGAGAACCTCACCCGGCGAACCCAAGTTTTGAGTCTCCGTAGGCATGACGGCGCCGGAGAGGATTGCGCAGGAGCGAGTTGGGCAGATGGAGGGAGACTCACATTCGCAGGTTTCCCAGTTTTCCCCTTTGTTTTTCTTGGATGCTTGAATAAACAAGCAGGGATTTACAATCTCCGGGGTCAACCTTCGCCCAGGATCGCAGTTTTCCTCTTTTTGTTTTTCTTGGACCCTTGAACGGCAACTGGTGGATGAGGAAGATGAATGTTGACCCAGGATTAACAACCCCCTGTTTATTGATATGGGGGGTGATTCCCCTGCAAAACAGCAGTTGCTGGATGCCCCAGTTTTATGGTGGAGGATCATTCATGTTAAACCCCGCATGTATAAATCCTTGTTTCTTCATATGGGGGGTGATTCCCCTGCAAAAGTGATGAGAATTCCCACTAAAACCAGGGACGCCCCCACTCTTCATAAGCAGGGGTTTATAATATCCGGGGTCAACCTTCGCCCTGTTTTGCGGAAAAGAAAGCCCGTGGCGCGTTTGAGAAGAAAAAACCGTCTCAGAAGTCCTCCTTAGGCGCCCCTCGAATCGATCGGGAGTTCCAGCAGGGAGCTGCCAACTTTCACATGGGGTTCAGCGGTGCAGAAGTGGGTCACGTCCTCAAAACCGAATCGGGGTTTGTTGGAGGGTACATGGTTGTTGTTGGGAAGCATTTTTACATTTTTGCTTATTGTGGTTTAGTCGGAAATCCCCACTTAACTGCTAAAACATATTTTTGTTGCTCCCCTTCCAACGTCAACCAAGAAAACCGATTCGGGGTTTGTTGGAGTGCGTATATCCGGCTTCTCAATTCTTGAAGCATGGTTCTGGATGGACATGAATCGGCACCCGGCTAAATTCAGGCAACGCGCAGTTGGTTTGGCGGGAACTGGAATTGGATTTGAACTGCGCGTTCTACTTGGAAACCAGCTCTTAACCACTACAAGCTCTTAGAAGGCTTCTGCAAATGGAGCTGACAAATGATGTCCACCAACGGGTCCCTTGGCTAAATTCACACCAGCTACTCCCTGGGATGAGCCGTCAAGTCAACCTGAACATGAGGGGCCTCCGATCGCCGCTGGACACTCGGAAATTTCTGCGAGTTCTACCCTCCTGTCCACAAAGATGGAACCTATAGGGTCCCTTTTGAGAATATCGTCTTCCACCCCTCAGTCAGGTCCGTTTCAGTGGACCTGAAGGGTATTCTCATACACCTTTAGTACACCAAGCTGTATAAACAGACAGCACATTCCGCGCACCCGCCTCATGCTACGTAACGGACTATACTTTGCCGGAGACTGGACGTACACTCTTGCAGACCACGCATTCTTGCAGGGTTTTCTGGCGCGCCAACATGTTTTAAGCATTTCGATTCTAAACATGGGCCAACACATCGCTTGACAAAAGACATTCTGATTGAGAAGAAAGTATCTTACCCTTAGCTGGCGACTTTTTTTTTTTTTTGCTTTCAAGAGGAACTGCGGGTTCAAGTGCCCAAACCACCACTCCAGATCCGCACCTTCCAGTGCCACATTTGTTGACTGGCACATCTCACAACAATTGGACCAGCCACAGGCTTGGCCCGGCTCCAGATTTTGGGATGAGCCGCTTGCTGGGATGCGCGGGAGGAATTCCCCGGTTGGCACCGCAAGTTGGAACAACACGCTGGAAGATTGCTGAAGAATCGTTGTTGCCTCAACCAGCACGCCCAGGTTGTATCTTGACCAGCAATCCCAGAACCCTTCCGGAACCCTCCTAGCACCACTCCTTTGCGCCTATCTCTGCAGAGACTCCAGGGCTTTCAGCTGGGGAAAGATGTTGTTTGTGTTGTTTCCTGGTGCACCAAACAATCTTGGCTCTCATGATTTCAAGAAATTTACGTTGTTCCATCAAACCATGTGTTGGTGATTCAGCCGTTTTTGCCTGTGTTTTTTTGGTTTTCAGCCGTTTTGCCTGTGTTTTTTTGTTCTCAGCCGTTTTGCCCGTGTTTTTGTTTTGTTTGTTTTTTTCTTTGCGGTTGGGCGGGCTTGGGCTTGGGCGGTTTTTTTTCGCGGTGCCACTGCGAGGAGTTCCTGGGTCCGCCGGCCTTGCTTTGCGAGGGGGGCGCCTGGCCACCTCGCCTGGCCGCTGTGGCTGGGTTTGTCTCGAAGGTTGAGACCCGATTTTTTCAAAAAAGGGACACCCAATTCATCCGGTGCAGGAACCTTCAGTTACCCACAGAGTGGTTTTTTTCAGGGTGGCAAGCCCTTGGTTACCCTCAAAGCCAGGTAATGTTGACCCCGTATTAGTCAACTCTGACCTAAGTTGTTGAAGGTCTCATGAAATCTCTTCTCAAAAGCACCCTGTTGCCCAAAAAGGGCCAATGTTGACCCCCTATTAATCAACCCCTGTTTATTAAACCAGGGGGGGGCCTGGAATTTTACTGGGGAATTTCATCACTTTTGGAGGGCCCTCCACCCAATAAACAGGGGTTGCCCCTGATTAATAGGGGGTCAACATTAAAGGTCTGGTGGATGAATAGGGGGGTGGAAAGCCCCCCGTTTAGTGGGGGTTCATCACCTATTTTGTTAAATCCCCCCCGTTTAGTGGGGACTAATCACTTTTTTAGAAACACTCCGAGGTCAACATTTGCGGGGGAGGGGTGGGAATAGGGGGAATACTGTGGATGGTTGGGAGATCCAGAAATATCACACCACCGTTCAGAGTCCCAACGGAATGATTCGATTCCCATGCGATTCCAACAAACGGTATGGTTTCAACCATGGTTGCAAAGCGGTGCAGGATTTCGTCCATCCTCTCCGTTTAGTGCGGGCTCATCACTTATTAATCCGGATTAACATTAGGGGGGAATGGGAAGAATGGGGAACTACAGCAGGCAGGTGGATTCCTGATGGATGGAGAGAAACCTATGTAGTTTCCCAGTTTGTCCAGGATGTTGTCAATCCACACGATTAACATCTCGCATGATTGAGGGGGTTCATTGCAGTTGTTCCTCATAGTTTGGATGGTTCCCCTTTGGTTTCCCTTGAAAGTGGCTTCATGAAGGGCTTCCCACATTGCGTACGTGAGGCTCGGTGAAACCATCGAGTCTGCGGCTCACTTGAGAAGGACGTGGGCGGCTTTTGAGGGGTATCCGTTTCGGGGTTGTTTCAAAGGGATCTCGAAAAGATACTGTGGATGGGCGAAATCCATTTCGCGCCGCCTAAGAAACCCTGCAGCGATGAGTCCGCTGTACATACCAACAACAATGGAATCCCATGGTTTCAAGGTTGTGCAGGAGTTTCCCCAACGTAAATACCCACAAACGTTATGTTTTATAAACCATAGTTGCATTTGGTGGTGCGAACCGATTTTGCCCATGCACAGTACCGCAGATTTTGGGCTGCTCTCTAGAGACAAACCCCATATGACGGTCAACCATATCCCGGGGCATACGACTCGCCAAAGTTCCAGAAACAAGCATGTGGGCGTGCTCTGGGTTTTACTCGTGCTTTATTATTATTATTATTTCTATTATTATTGTTATTATTATCATTACTACTATTATTATTCTTATTATAATTACTATTATTATTATTGTTATTGTTATTGTTATTATTATCATTATTATTATTATTATTCATTTTATCGTCTCGTTTCGCAAAACCGGTTTCTTTAAGGAGCAGGTTGCGGAGGGCTACCAGATTGTGCCGGAGGTTGGCAGCGGCCTGCTGCGGCCTCATGCGAAAGGTAGCGGTGGTGGGTCAAAAGGTCCGCGCTACATGTGGTGACCATTGGGGAAAACCCACCACAGAGAGGACGACTTTCACCACCACCCACCCGAACGGAAGATTGAGATTGATCAACCGGCAGGGAGGAACAAACAAATAGACCGGCTGGAGTGGCTTGCTTGGAAAAAACGAGTGATGGATTGCAGGTGGGGTGGGGGAGACAGAGTTCCGCTGTTCCGGGGCGGTTGTACTGCGCGGCCCTTCCAAGCCAAAAAGACGGAGCTTTTCTTTGAGCGACGCTTACGGGGGATGGCCAGGTATCTCCTAGAGGACTTGGATGGGCCTATGTCATGTTGGCCGGTGGAGCTTTTTATGCTTCAAACAGCGTCCCTAGTTTACCAAGGCAGCCATCTGCAGGAGTCCAACTTGTTTTGACATGGGTGACTACATGGCTCTCGAAGGGCTTTTCGATTCTTTTTGAAGGGGATGCCTCACAAGGGTTCATCCTATCAGAATTACTCCCGTCCAATTTGCTTAGTGCAGAGCCTTGGGCAAGTGACAAGTCGAGGGTGTGCTCCAGCGGATGGTTTGGAGGTGTGCAGGTTGCATGCGACTTTCGTAGGATATGGGTCTGGGTCAAAATTAAACCACCAGGAATTGGACCGCAGGTTTTAGTCCATGTTTCCGCTTACAAGGGCAAACCCATTTTGGGGTTACCCTATTTTTGACCCACAGCCATATGATGCCGACAGTATGTAACCAGCACTCCTCGTGAGACCAAGTCCGTGGCATCTGTGCTTGGGCTGCGGGGAACGATGGTAAGTGGGGTCGTATCTCTGGGGTGAGGTCGAAACCCCTGGTTATTTATAGGGGGTGGGGGGCCACTCCAAAAGTGGTCTGATTCCCCACTAAACCCCGGGATACCATCCCAGTCAACCTGAGGCACCTTGGGGGTTCTATGTTAGCAAGGAGTCAAGACGACTTCGGGCCTCACAAAGGTTTGAGACCGTCCCAAACTTTCCTGGCTTAGGCTTCCTCCAGAATGTCGACCCCTCATCAACAACCCCGTACTATTTGGCGGGGTGCTTTTTTGTCAGTAAAGATTCCTGTTTTCCACCGAAACCCTCCTGAATAATACCTGGGGGGCAGGGAAGTGATTAGTCAACACACTGGGACCAGGGGGCAACCCAACTCACATCAAAAGGATGTCTGGAACCCGCAAACTGAGGCTCAGTCCATGTTTCAATGGGGACACCCAAAGATGGCTTCACGCCTTTCCAGCCAGGTTCTTCACGGAAGCCGTGCTTTGGGGCGGAACGTCGTCTTCAAAAAAGGAGGGTCGAATTGCATGACATCTCTTGGATGAGCCTGATGATTGTTCCTGGCAGGCCTGGCTTGCCCGGAAGCACTGCTGTTTACCAATTTGAGTGGAACCCACCAGCCTTTGTTGATTGGCGGTTTGGACTTGGATTCTTTGCAGCTTCCCTTTCTTTACAGAGATGAGGAAAAAGCACCCTTTTTCAAGGATTCAGATTTTTGAACCCCCCTTCCTTCACGGGGAAAAAGTCACGCCTTTTTCCAAGCTTTGGATTTTTGGACCCCCCTTTCTCTATAGGGATGGGGCACACGCACACACACACACACACACAAACCCTCTTTTTTTTTCACAGGTACACGGGGAACCGGCCACCAACCGGGCCCCCACCTCCCAGCCGCGCAGGGCCAAGCCCAGCCGGCGCCAAGTCGCCGAAGCCTCGCAGCCTCGCAGCCGAGGCCCCTGCGGCAGCGCCGCTTCGCGCTGAGGGATTTGTTGGACCTGGCGCCGGCACGGGACAGCAGCCTGGAGATCCAGGCGGGAAGTTTCGGAGGCGCAGAGGCCTGAAGGTCGATGCTTGGTAAAGGGGGGGTTGAAGTCGATCGACTGGTTTTGTTGCCCCCCCAAAAATGAAGTAAGCCATATCGGTTTTGGGAGGTCCCCGAAGTTTTTTTGGGGGGCGCCCTGAGCCCATGGTTTGTTTTGTTGAAATGCCCGTAGTGTTTCTCCAGTGTTCCGTGGTTGGGGGCTTTTTTTTTTATGTTAAGGTGCGTGGTGCATGGGATGACCATTGGTTTAGCTCCGATTTTTACTTGTTATGCCCATGGTGGTTTTTGGAAACCTCGGCGTTCCTGATTTCCTTTTTTGTGGCTTAAAAGAGTGCCAGAGTGCAACTGGTGCAAAGATGTAACCAGAACCAGCTATGGTGGTGCTCAGTGGGGAATGACCTTCGATCGGGGGTTGGGAATGAACCGGACAGATTCCCTAAGAAACCATAGGAGGGATGGGTTATAGAGGTCATTCCAACTCATTCCCGGCTGAGAACCAGCAAGCTATTCAATATGTTTTATGCCAATGGTGTTTTCGGTCTTTTATGGTTGAGGGCTTCTAAAGTTTTTTGGTTTTTGGTTTTGTTTTTTGGCATCCTTTCTGATGTGGGGGTTGATCAATTGGTCTGTGATACATGGGATGACCATTGGTCGGAAACCCACTAAAACAACCATGTGTTTCAACCACCAAATGAGAAAAGTGACCAACCCCCATGTCAGGGTCCGGGACCTAAATTCGATTCTTTGTTTGGCCCATGCTGTTTTCAGTGTTCCACGGTTGGGGCTTTTACCGGTTTATTATGTTTCCTTGTTGGTGGGTTTTATTTGTCACAGCACCTCTTCGGCTTTTATTTTTGGTGAGTTTCCCTAGTGAGGCCAGTATTCAGGCTTGACACAGGTGGCATTTAGACTTTCAAGTGACGAACTGGGCGTTGCAAGCTGACTGCGATGTGCTGCTGACAACTGGCCCCCTCTCAGAGGATGGAGTTCCTCCATTTCCTCAAGCAGAAGAATAGAAGGACCCCAGAATCCGTAGTAAGACTGTCCCTTTGAGGGTTCCGTGAGGGGAGCTGCCTTGATCTTCCCAGAAGTAAGACGCCTGCTGGTCCTCTATTTGAAGCTTAGCGAAACATTGAGAGGGACCTCAGTCTTCGAAGATGGGGAGACCCAGGGAACAGCCTTCAAAGCCTGAATCACCTGGATCCATCTACCACTTTGACTATTTCTCGGGGGTCATCTAAGTCAGAAACTGGGTTTCCCTGCAACCTACCACTCGGGCCACATTGATGGTAAAATAAGGAGGGCCCATGAGGGCCCTCTACTTCCAGTTTCTTTCTTTCCCCGGGTTCAGCAAAAACACATCCTGAAAGAACAAAACAAGAAGAACAACAGGGCTGGATGAAATCTCGACCCGTATCATCATGCTGACAGAACGAAAAAGTGGCTCACACATGAAGAGCCAGGGGACAGCAGCTTTTCCATTTCCCCGGTTGCTTGGGCGAGCAACACCCAAGTGACACCCTGAAGTCTTTCCCCAACTGATGGCGAATCCCATGCGGAGGTTGCGGAGGTGTCCGCGTTCCGGCTCACCACGCACATGCCCACCGTGCCCGCGCGGCCTGTTCTAGTGCCAGGCGCGGAAGGGTGATAGGGAGATAGAAACGGTGTGGTAGGGTGGGGTGGGGTGGGGTGTTTGCTGGGGCATTTAGGTTAAACCCAGTTTAGACATAGTTGGCTGATGCGACTCGCACTTGAAAGGTTCTTCAGACATGAAGGACAAATTGTGAGTTTGTCTAGCAGTGTGAGAAGCTTCAGGAAGTCCATGGAGCTGCGTTCCAGGGAGGGACAGGGGGCCTGACTTCCCCGATGAGTCAATGACTCCAGTGGCACAGCGTCTTCGACGCTTTTGTCCCCCCCTGGCAAAAGGCGATTCTATTTTTGACCCACAGGCATACCATTTTGGGTTCACTTCCCAAGTTTTTCCGCGGTGGTTTTCTCACTTTTTGGGAAGCCCATTGTGGCGCTTACAAAACATGGTGTTTATTCTTTCGGGCTGTGCACTCAGCGGGGGAAACAAAGAATCTAACAACCAGGAGATGCCCTTTCTGCTTGTTCACCCAAAATGACCCCCCGCCTTTACCTAAAAAGGCATAGTCCTGTTTTTTCTTCGGTGTCCGACCCCCGCCTGTACTTAAAAAGCATGGGACTTGTTTTCCCAACCAGCCCGTTTTTGAGACCCAACCAGCCGGGAGAAGCTCGCCAGCGGCCACGGGTGAGTCGCCAGGCCGCCGGCAGGAGGCCTGGGCGAATGTCCCCAGGGCCTTCACCACGCGACGCATCCCTGCGGCAGGAGCGGGGGGAGCGGGGGGAGGGGTTTTGAGGGTGTGGTGGGAGGGTAGGGGACCAGCAAGTGGTTGTTTGTGGAATGGCGACAGGCCAGGAGTTCTTGTTTGTGTTTTTTTGGTTTCTCCAAGAGCTGAAAGCTATGGATGATTTGGTCCAGAGCCCTAAAAGGCTCTTGGTCTGGGTGGTCTGGGTGGTCTGGAGAGGTTTGTGTTCTCTTTTGGGTTGGGGTTGGTTGTGTTGGGGGGAAGCAGAAATGGAATGCCCCCCAAAGAAAGACCATCCATCCTACGGTTTCCTTTCTTCGGGAACCCCCCAAAACCGGCTCATTCCGCCAAAACCCGAACTCCGACTCGGAGCCGCTCATTTCGCGCGTCTCTCGCGCCTCGTTTTGGGGCGGCGCGAGGCCGGGAGTTTCGGCACAGCATCAGCGCCGAGCTGCCGCCGGGGGAGTACACCTTGATCTTCGTCATGGAGATGGCCACAGGTGAAGTGGTAAGGGCCAAAAGGGGGAGGGAGGCGCCGTTTGGGCGTTTTCTCTAAACAGGGGAGGTCTCTTTTGAACAAAAAGAGGATATGGGTGCAACCAAAGGGGAAATACGGGTTGAAGTCGGATATGGAACCCTAACTTTTGCTGGTTTCGTCGTTGGATTCCCTTTCAAGCAAGCACGAACAATACCCCCGACCGACCAAGTGGACCAGAGCAGACCATGGGCAGGAGAGAAATGCCCTTGCGGAGCTGGCGCCCTTTTGGCCCCCGGTTTTGGGGGCTCCCCATTTTGACACAAGCCCAAGGGTCTGCAGAGTATCAACTGAGCTGTATTGGGATGGGAGTTGTTCCAACCTAATTTTACGGCCAGCCCCTGAGGTTTGCCTGCGCCCCGAACCAACACCCCGACACAAAAACCCAAACCTAAACCCAAAAAAACGTAAATCTAAACCCTAAAAACCCTAAACCTCAACCCTAAAAACCAGAAACCTAAACCCTAAACACCCTAAACCTAAACCTTACAACCCTAAGCCTAACCCTACCCTAAAACCCTAAACCTAAACCCTAAAAACCTTAAACCTAAACCCTAAAAACCCTAAACCTAAACCCTAACACCCTAAACCGAAACCCTAAAAACCCCAAACCTGCTTGCAGAAACCTAAGCCCTAAAAACCTAAACCTAAACCCTAAAAACCTTAAACCTAAACCCTAAAAAACCCCAGACCTTCCTGCTACCCACGCCTCGTGGTACCACGGCCCCACGTTCTGAAGAGAACGCAGGTCACCACGTGTCAGGTATGGCTGCACGAGTTGTGCTACTTGAGTAGTAAAGGGTGCCATACTCGAACCACGTGCTGGACAAGGGTGGATTAGGGGGTGCCGGCAAACCACGGGGGCTGTGGGTAATTTTAGCCCCTAGAGTCTCCATGACCCCTAGAAAAAGGGGTCAGAACCCCGAAATTTTGGTTCTACCAAATCCTCCCAGATCCTAGCAGTGTAAGCCCTGAAAAGGAAACGAGGGGTTTCCCGGAGTGCATTTGAGCATGCAATTGGATACCGCCCCATTTGGGATACCCTCCCGCAAAATTGATGCTCTACGGAAAGTCGTCACGCATCTGGGGGCTTGTGCACTTCCATGTTTGGTGATAGGGTGGCCGAAATTTTCTGTAGGATCCGCTGACCTTTACTTTGGGAGGGAAAAGGTCAGGGTGGGTCCCCAAAATCCATCTTTTGTGAACATGTGGATAGGGGCCCCAGTTTTGCCTTCGGCGTTGGTTGGCGCAGGGCAAGACAACATCTCCAGCATCGTCAGCATCATTTATGGATCAGTTCGGGGATGAGCATCGTATGTTTTCAAATGATGCTGGTGATGCCGGGGATGCTGCGACCTTACACGTTTGCACCTCTCCCCTTTTTTGGTCGGCACCAAGATTTTGAGCCGCTGCCCTCTTCCCCAAACCTCGAAAAAGTTGGCGTCTCGGCCCATGATCAATATGTCTTGGTGTGACTTTGCCCAGAACGTGGCTGAGGTTTGGTCAAACCGTTTGGGGCTATGCTGAACTTAGGGGCGCTGGACTAGGTTTTCTCCACCAAAACCAGGGGGCTGGGGAGAGTGCTCATCAGTTGTAAAGCGGGTGTTGGGTAACAAACCCCAAATTGCCCTCAAACCATGGGTTTGGCAAAGCCCTGAATTCATGTTGATCGTGGCTCATGTGCGTCCCTATGACATGGATGCCCGTGTCGCTGATGGACTTGACCGGGACTTCAATCTGTATATCTCAAAATGGGTCCCTCCTCTTTGGGATGGTGTTCAAGCCAGAAAGAAAGAAAATCATGTCCGAAGTCTCTTGTTTTAAAGCCAGCACACCGAGGAGCCAAGTATGTCCGCATCAAAGCCCGGGATCCGGTTCGTTCGGAGTCTCCGACCTTCGGAGCCTTCGAATGGAAAGGATCCCGGAAAGGGCCCGACCAAAGCCAAGGAACAAACATAAGGCCACGAACAAAAACGAAAACCAGCAGGGGCCCTGCGCCTCGGTTTTTTGGCCGCGGCTGACACAAGAGCGCCTTTGCCGGGCTGAGAACCGCCACATCCAGGGTTCTGCAACAGAGGTTCAGACCAGCAGGGGTAGCCTTACTCAACACGGACAATGGGTCCCAAAGCTTCTTCCACGTATCCTTCCACAGGGTGCCTTCCGTTAGTGGTTCCCCGTTAGTGGGGGGGGGGTCTGCATAAACGCAGGTGGAAATGCGCCGAGTTTAAGAGCGTACTGGTAGTTCTTGACAAGCTGACTCAGTGCGTCCCGCGGCAACAATTTGAGCTCCTCAAACCGGGGGTAACAAAAAAATCATGGATCGACTTGCCAGGGGGCTTGAAGCCCTGTGCCTCCGTCTTGCTCAACCTGGCCCTGGAGCCCTTGCCTGCGGCAACTCGTGCTAGAGATTTGCTCGGGCTTGCGGGGTCGGGGAGACCTGGGTCCCGCGTGAGGATCTGGTCGTTTTTGGGGTTGAAATTGGAGAGCGCAAGGAAGCTCACCGTTTCTGAATCGGGGGTGGGTCCCTACAAAACAGCTTTGGACACCCAAAAGTTCCCCTTAGCGGAGACTTGCTCAGTCGGGACCGAACTCCGGTTTTTTTGGCGCTTTTTTCTTTGGCAGGGAATCCCCACATTCCCAAAACCCCACGAACGATTCCCTACCGAGAACCAGCAAGGAGAAGGTGGTTGCAACGTAGACGGCACCCGTCCATCATGGGATGTTTGCCATTGGCAGGGAAGAAAGATCAGGCGTCGTCTGGAGTAGCTCGGAGCCGGCTAGGGTTCCAGAAAGCTACCTCTCAAGATAGTTTATTTTTTGGTTCTGTTGATCTTATGGGGATTGTATGGCTTTTGGCTTCTGGTTGGTGTGAACCCCCCCCCCCCATGTTTTTGCCGTGCCCTGAGCAATGATGAACATCTAGACCAGTGTTTCCATGTACTGCCAAAGTAGGTAACGAGGGTGTTTTACCTTTAGGATTTACATAGACTAGGTCCCCAGTAGTGCCCTTTTACCCTTTTTTGGGGAGGGCTCCCTTACTAAAATAGACTACAGAAAAAAATCGGGTACCCTTATTCTAACCTCTCTACTGGAGGACCTAGTAGAGGTTGTCAAACATAGGGCCCTGTCCAGTCCCCGTTCAAAGGCGGAAGGCTCCAGGCAGCACCAGGCTGCCGGCCATCTTTTCGACAACCTATGCGATGTTTCGCCCGAAGTTCCTGCACTGGCAAGTTGGACCAATCCATTTGCGATTTACATGGCTAACATGTTGCAACTAGGGAAGAAGCCCAGAAATTCGCCATGGCTCTTCGGCTTTTTCACTTCGCGGTTGTGCGAATCCCCTTGCCTTGCTGCGGCTCTGCAGGGAATGAGTTGGAATGACCGGAATGAGTTGGAATGACCCCGACAAACACTCGCAGGTGGTTTCCTTTACACCCAAACTCAGCCATTCCCTGCGTGGCCATGGGTCAAAATCCAAATCGTACCCCCAGTGAACATCCGATTCAATCCCCACTAAAATAGCCTACCAACCAAAATGGGATCCCAAAATGGTGTTGACCCACGGCCACATATCGCACCGCGCAAGTTGGGCATGCGTGTTCGCAGCTGTCCGGCTCACTTTGCTGCTTCAGCCAAGCGGCTTCCAAGCCACGAGTTCGCCAGACAGAGTTTTAGTTTTTTTTTGGGCGGGGGCAGCAGCTCGGCAAGGAAACTTTGGTGCATTTCGCTTGGATGTTAGGACTTGAGAACTTTTGCCAACTAATGGGTTTTCCGTATTAAACTACTAAAAGTTAAAACTTCTAGCAGGGGAGCAGAAAGCAACCGAGGAAAGGGGTGCTCCCTACAGGCTGGTCTGTGTTAAGCGTAGGTCCTTACCTTGGGTTGCGCGAGGATTTGGTCCCCCTTGCAGTGGCCTGCTGAAAGGAATGATGGATTAGGATTGGCCAATTCTGCATTCAAGGAGAAGACCCTTCTCCCTACAAAATGGCCAGTTGGGTTTCAAGTATCACCTGTTGCAAAAGAAGGATTTCAGCAGGGCTCCTGAAAAGATCTCCATTTTGCAACCATGTGAAACATGCTGCTTTTTCAACACCAAAATGAAGGGACACCACCATTTACAAGCTGCAATGTTCAGGTGTATAATGTAAGGATCCCTGTTCAGCGGCATGAGAGTAGCTGAGAAGCCTGGTGGCTTTCCCTTCAAACGGCTGGGGTTGGATCGGCCCCTTTCTCCTTCGCGCATGGACAACTGGCGGTCTTCTCAGTCGCGCGATGAGTCGAATGCTGAGGAGCCGTTTTGAGAACCGAAGGGAGTAGAAGGAAGGGGTAAGAACCAGGGTTGGTGAAAAGTGGTTGAAAGCAACCATGCTCATGATCTTTTAAGGGAACCCCAAAGGATGCTCAAGCAAAGTGCCTAGGATTATCCGGTCTCCCCAATAATAAACTGTCCATCCCCCCTCATAAAAGTGTCCCTCGGAGGGTTTTTATGATTGGGGTCCCTGGCTATTGGCCAGAGCTGTTTTGTTTAGTATTGGGCTCAAATTGACTGGGGGGCCCCATTTGATTTGCAAGAAACGTGTTTGTTCGAGTAAGAACTTTTACCGGGAAGGCGCCCTTGCTTTTTCAACAAGACATAATCATGAATAGAAACCGCTCACGCAAGGCAACCCTTTGGTTTACTTTGAGAGAAACAGCAGCCCAGAATGAATAAAACTGTTGCGTAAGACCTTGTGAAGGGACCCTCAAAAAGATCCCCCCCCAAAAAATAATAATAATATAAATATATATATATATATAAGCCCACGCAAGGCAGCCCTCATTGCTAGGGTGGCTCCGAAGGAGCACCTCCGAGCCTGGCGGAGTCCAGTTGGTATCTGAGTTTCGTATTGGGTTGGTATCAAGTAGTTCAAAAATTAGTGGCAATTGTTGGGGTCGGCTGGGAGCGTTTTTTCTTTCCTTTCTTGGGGTGTCTGTTTTTTTGAAAAGGAAGAAGTGATTGCATTGGATGTAACAAAGCAGCTTCGCCAGCTTTAGAGGATTCCCTCAGGATGGTGTTTGGATGACTCCTAGGCTTTTTGCTAACAACTAAGTTGTCTTGGATTTGATTTTACATTTCCTAGGGCTGTTTTTTTGAACTAGGGCTGGGTTGGTTGGATGGTTGGTTGGTCGGTTGGTTCAATCCTCGACATTGGCCTGGTGCCTACTGACTCTGGTTGGGGGCAGTTGGGAATTGTTGGGGGAATGGTTTGGTCTGGGCTGGCTTGGATCTTCATTCGAGTGGGTCTTGTGGTGGTTAGGGTTGATTTAGGGCTGACATCCAGGCTGCTGTTGGGCGGGTTTCGGGTTGACTTTGGGTGGATTTTGGCGCGGGCTTCGAGCCGATTTGTGTTAAATATACTACTAACGAAACAGCGCCTATTGGGATATAATTACGTAAGTTTTAACCTCGTTCAGAATTGGAGCGTGCCCCAAACCACCAAAACTCGCCCACAACTCGCGCAACAACATTCCGAAAGCAACCCTAAATGTTTTTGCGGCAACACAAATCGGCTCGAAGCCCACGCCAAATCCACCCAAAGTCAACCCGAAACCCGCCCAACAGCAGCCTGGATGTCAGCCCTAAATCAACCACAACCACCACAAGACCCACCCGAATGAAGATCCAAGCCAGCCCAGACCCCCCTTAACTTAAACCAGCCCCCCAGCAACTCCCAATTGCCTCCCAATCAGAGCCAATAGGCAACCTCCCAGGCCAAGTGATGCTGGTGATGCTGGGGATGTAGAAAACCAGCCCTAGGGAAAAGCCAGCCCTAATGAAAAAACCAGCCCTAGGACAAAAACCAGCCCTAGGAGAAACAACGGCACCTCTACCCTAAGTACCTGACAGGAGGTGGTGGACCACATGTCCCAGATGCAGGTGCCGCCAGAGGTCGTCCGAGTCACCCGTGCGGACCGTGAACATGAGGGCAAGACAACATCTCCAGCATCGTCAGCATCATTTATGGTTCAGTTCGGCTGATCCAGGGATGAGCATCGTATGTTTTCAAATGATGCTGGTGATGCCGGGGATGCTGTGACCTTACACGTTTGCAGCTCTCCCCTTTTTTGGTCGGCACCGAGATTTTGAGCCATGCATTTTGAGACAAACCATCACCTTCATTTTGAGCCTTGCATTTTGAGGAACAAACTCATTTTTTGCCTTGTAGACCATTGGTTTTCGTTTCCTTTCCCTCCAAGGAGCAACCCTTTTAGTGGCTTAAGGGTTTCCGCTTGCTTTCACTTACCGCCCAGACGGCACCACCTTGGATCTTGGGAGCAGCTCTGGTTGGTTGCAACATCCCATTTGCTTTCTTTTCCTCTGAAAAGCAATTCAACGGGAGCGATACGAAATCTGCTTATTTCGTTGCTGGAGAAGCAGTTGTTCTTGAAGGTCCCCTTTTGCAAATCCCACTTTGTGATCCCTCTTCTGAGCAACCGGTGTAAAATGTCCGGTGATTTACCTCTAAGTCTCGGAGGATTATTCCCTTTGGTGTTGCCTCGAGTAGGAATTCCAGGTGTGAGTTTGTTGCTCGTCCCATTTGCACATTTCGCCCAACATCTTCGGATGGCCTACAGAGAAGGTTACCGGTAGAAATACATTTGGGTTCCACAGGTTTGAACGTTTTTTTTTTTTTTTCTTTCGCAATTTGCCAGGGACAGATCCATCGATTTTGACCCACAAGGGCATTTATTCTTGACCCCATATTAATCAACCCCAGTTTATAAATAGGGGGGAGGGGGTGTACCTGGGTCTATTGGTTGGAATCATCCCTTTTGGAGGGGAACACCCCTACCCACCCCCAATCAATAAACTGGTTGGTTGACTAATTGGGGGTCAACATTAAATTTGGAAGAAATCGATGGGTTCCGCAGTCAGATGGGTTTTATAAGCGAATTATGTACCAGGGGAAAGCCATCGATTTTTCTGCAAAAGGCCATCTATGTAGTTGGGACACCTGGGTTTAGTTGTTGGAATCATCGCCCCGACCCCCTTATATATAAATATATATATATATATGTGTAAACTGGTTGATTGAAATGGGGGTCGACATCAACGGACCCAAGTTGGGCCAAGTGCCACCAGGGCATCCCAACGCCTTGAGGCGTGGGCGCCTCCCTCTTCGCGGCGGCCGCCTTTCGGGCCTTCTATCGTCATGTGGAGGTCATGGAGAAGCGGCTGAGGTGGGGAGGGAGGGGTTGGGGTGGGGTGGGTGTTGGTGGGAGTTTGTGTGTGTGTGTGTGGGTGGGGTGGGGTGGGGTTGGGGGTTGGGGCAGGAAAGCGTGGAGAACGAGAGGGGGGTTGGGGGCTCCATGTTTTGGGTGGGCCAGGCGGTTTTTGGTTTCAGGAAGAATTTCCCATTCACCCTCTGCAAGAGCCAGGGTCCAAACTGCCAATCTGAACCCTGAAAATTGGATATACAGATGTGGCTTGGTAGGATCAACCCAAACAATCACACACATATCTTGTGATCAACAGAGGGTTATTCTAGGGGTTGATTCCCCATTCTTTCCAACCATCGTTCTTTTCAAACAGCTATTTTCCCTGGGCTTCCTGAGGTTCTCTAGAAAGGATCCCTGGAAAGAATGAAATTGGAAGGTACCCCTAGAGTTGCCTGAGCTTCTCCCGCTTTCCTCATGGTTTCCCGGGCCCACCGCCGCCTGGCTTCACCCAAAAGCGCGTAGGACCCTTCGGGTGGCCGACACCTCCTGCGCATGCTGCTGCCTGGGCCACGTGGGGCCTGACAGGGAGGCGCTGGCCTGTGACAAGGTGGGGGGGGGTTAGGTTCGGAGATATGGCTGTGGCTCAAAACCGTTTTGGGGATTGGGATGTGCACTGGGGGTATGATTTGGATTTTGACCCATGGCCATATGGGCGTGATTCGATTAGGCTTGGTCTCCCTGTTTTTGCGGGAGGAAAACAAGGACACCGACATCGACTTTTGAGGGCCCCCTTTTTTGGTGGCGTTTTTAAAGGAACACCCTTGCTTGCCATTGAACATTTTGGAGGTGAAAAGAACGACGCCCACGTCTTGTAAAGGGAATTTGCAGGTTTATTTTCCCAAAGCCTGGGTCATTCCCATGGGTTCCTGGAAAATTGCCAGGTTTCTTCCCAAAGCCTGGGTCATTCCCAAAGCCTGGGCTCCTGGTTACATCTTTGCACTCTAGCACTCGCTTAGCTTGGTGGTAAGCTCTCCGGTCCCTCAGGCGGTGATCTGCGAGGTCATCGCCCAGTGGTTCGGCACCTCTGGCTGGGTGGGCGCTTACGGCAGGGGGGGTTTGGGGGGGCGGGTTGGGGGGGGGTTTGGGGCGGTTTGCGCCAAGTGGTTGGGCCGAAACTGAGCTGAAAAGGGCCTGAAAGGAAGTACGCACCTCCAGTTCTTGCCAAAAGGAGATCGCATTTTTTAGTTGCAGACAAGAGCTGAGGCTTGAAGAGGAGTTCGGGGTTGCTCCTGGTTCCATGCAAGCAGTAGGCGGTGAAGGCATTACCAGCTCGAACAAGGCCTTGGTTTTTGGCACATGGCCGAACAATGAGTCACCTTTTAGTTTTCTAACTGTCCCTTTGTGACGTTTCCGCTTTCGGGGCGATGATTCAAGCTGAACATCTTAGGACCTTCTCAGGCGCCAACCCAGCGTTCTCCCTTTGCTGCATATGTGCGACATGTCAAAAACCAGTTTGGAATCTTTCGAATCACAATGGAGCTTCATGTCCCAAACGTGACCGAAAGGGTCCCCAGTCTTTTTCCAGGGACGCACAGGGACGCGTCTTTTGGACGACGGTGAGTAATCTTTCATATTGTCGGGGTCGAAGGGTAGGTTTCGGCGCCTGTGAAAAAAATAACCAACAAGAAGATTTAGCTATCGCTACAGAAATCCAACCGAATTCTCACCAGAGGATCCAACCACTTGTAATTCACAGCCATTTGGATTCCCTCAACGTAGGACCCAACTTACCCTTACTCGTTTTCCTCCGGGGATTGGCATGTTTGTACCGATTTGGCTCTATCCAACTCCGGACGATAGAGTTTAGGACCCTAAGACCTGTTTAAAGGGGTCTTCAAAAGCAAACAGGTCTCATATTTATGTAGTGTTTTTTGAGGGTAATTACCCTTTGCTGGTTGGTTGGCTTAAAGGGAAAGTCACCATTTTTAGAGGTCCCCCCATTTCGACACAGCCATACACCATTCTTTCAGCCTGGATATGGAGGAGACAGCCACGGGGCCATGACTCCGGGTATATTCTTGTCAAACCACGGCTCTAAGGCAGCCATCAGGGGCGTTTGCGGAAGCCACCCAAGCCACAGGTGGCATGTGAAGAGAGCCCAGGGAAAGCGGTGTTGCCCATGAGCTGATGACAGGACATGCCTGAAAATACATTGCTCGGGGTTGACCACCAAGCTGGGCCTGCCTCTTCTGGCTCCCTTCAAAAGGGAGCTACTTCTCTCCAAAGCTTAGGTTCTACAGGGTATTTAAAACCAGCGCCCTTCAACCAAAAAACAAGCATTGGAAGCCTTCTAGCACGCCAATATGGCATCTGCACCAGGCTTATTTCAGTGATTTCCTTGAAGGCACCGGTGTGAGTTTGGTCTCAGTAAGCTTTGGTGTCCATTTTGTTTCCCTTTACCGTCTTGGTGGTGCCCAGTATACCCTTAGACTTTCAGACTTTTCAGAATTTAGAAGGGTTTGCGACATATTTCGGTAAATGTTTCACTTTTTCCAAGGGTATCAAGGAACCGGGCTTGTCTTATTTTTCGAGTGTTCCCTGTGTTGGCTGTTTAACGGGAACCCCAAAGAACACCACATTTTTGAGATCTCGAATTTTGACCCACATATGGGTTCCACTGGTTTCGACTTACCCATTTGTCTCCACAAGGAGTGCTCCCTCTTGGGTTGGTTTTAAGGGACACCCAAAAGAACACAACTTTTGGGTCTCCCGATTTTAGCACATACCACGTACATGACATAGGAGTCCTTTGTAGGTGAGTTTGGTTAGAAATAGATGGGTTCCACTCGTTTAGACTGGCTTACAAACAATTTACCAGGTAAATCCATCCATTCTTCTCAAACAGGTCACCTATGACCACATGTTATTTTTTTGTGCGTTCCCTGTTTTTGTTTTCTTTTTCGGGAAAACCCAAAGAACCCCTTCCGGATTTTGTTTGCGTCACCTGCTTTCGGCCGTTGCTTTCGGTTTTTCCGCTCTCGTGGCCAGGCAGCCTGGAGAAGTTCGAGCACTACATCCAGACGGAGGTGGCCGCGGTTCTGGGGCACCAGCTGCGGAACGACTCCTTTGGCTACGGCTGGGCGGTGTGCGCCCCTCGGATGGACCGGGGGGAAGGGGGAAGGGGGGGGGCTCTTGAGCCCGTTTTTGTTTGTCCCACTCCCTGACCTCAGGGGGCTCTTGAGTTTTTGTTTTTCTAGGTCCCCCGCAGTTGTGCCCTTTCTCACCCGTTTCTTTTTCGGTTGGGAGGGTTCTACTAAAATAGACGGACAAAAATCGGGTACCAACTTATTCTAACCGCTCAAATCTGGAGGACCTAGGTGTTCTGTTTTCCAAGTCTTTGGGAGTTCATGGACTGGATCCTCACTTGGATCATCTGGGGCAAGCAAGAAGTTGGGGTACTTGTCTTGGCTTCACCTAGTTTGTAGCGCAGACAGCGGGGTTTCCTTGGACAAGCCAAGATTTATTTGGCTTTTTGGCGATCCAGGGATTTTTCGGGGCTGCAAATTGGACACAAGTTGGCAAATGTTACAGGCTGCGAAGAAGGCTTCATGGATCCATGGACTTCAACTTTTTGGTTGGATTTTCCGCATTGGACCCACAAAAACAACTTTTGCAGAGGGGTGGTTGCAGCACCCACGCCTGCGTCTAGAGGCTCTGCGACTTTCCTTCCCAATGTCTCTTTTTGATGGTCCCTTTTTGGTGTGGCAAGAGGAACACCGGCATAAAGCTCGAAGCGTTGATTTAGATTTTGGGTTTTGAGGACCATGCGGAGAGTTGCACTCCATAGAGGTCGCTCAAAACAATATAGGGGCTCATCGCATGTCCCCCCCCCCGAAAAGCGAGGACTCACCTTCATCCCCATATGTGCCACTACATTGTTACCTTGCCAGAAGTCTTAGCCTTTTGATTTTTTGGCTGGTAGGTGTTCCTTCGGTTGTCCCTGTCAACCAGCAACAAAGGGCCGCCTTTCTTGGGATGGAGAGGTTCCACGACAGCTGGGGGGGGGTTCTGTTTTAGTGTTACCAACAGCCACCACCAACCATAAACCACCCTAAACCACTCTAAACCACTCTAAACCACTCTAAACCACGCTGGACCGCTCTAAACCATATTTAAGTTCATTTTGCAGCCAGAAGCCAGCAATAGCCACATTTAAACCAGAAGAGCCGCTCTGAAGTCAACCAGTTTCATGTTTGCCTTGTGCGGGGCTGGGAGAATGTTTCTTGGGAGCCTGCCTCATGAAGTCACCTACCGTTGCCACACGTTGACACCATCTCCCCTCGGGCACTGGGTTGCTAGCCACTTAAGTAAGGTGTGCCAACAGCCATTTACCCCAAGAGCTGGCTTTTTTTACCAGTGCGCGACAAAGTTTTCCGGCCAAAGACTCTCCAAACGAAGCTAAGAACCGTTCACCCCAAGAGCTGCTGGCTTGAAGCCAGCATACAAACTCTTTCGACCAAAGACTCTCCAAACCAGGAAGTTTGCTTCTCGAGGCGCAAGGCCAAAGAGGTCTTCTTACGACCCTGGCAGTTTTTTGGCGGTTTGGACGGTGGGGAGGATTCAATTCTGCAGCCCTAAAGTTTGCAGGCCTCTCATGATCTCAGATGGAAAAAACCGCGCCTGTTCCCTCAGAGGGCCCCTCTTCTCATAGGACAAGCAGTCAACAGGGGGAGCAAAACTGGGGGTGGCACTCCTGCAGGGCAGAGAACACAACAAGGAATCTGAACCGGATGCAAGCCGGCCACCCATCCCATGAAAGGAGCGATGACCAGGACCACACAGATTTGCAGTTTTGAGCATGGCACACATGAGCTACACTCAACACCTGGGAAGAAAGTTAGTAAGGGACGATCCCCTTGCCATACATCGCTGCGGATCTCCGCCTTCTTAATTCTTCTACATGGTTCTGGGATTACGACCATTTAAATACCGGGTGTTTGATTCTGACTCACATGAGGTTGGGCCAAACTCCAGTCCAGGCCTGGAGGGCCTCAAGTTGGGCTATTTGGTAACGGAACTTTGGGCTGAACTTGTTGGTTGAAACAGGTGGGATTGTTCGTGGACCCACAGGAAGTGAAACACTGTTTCGCGGATGGGCCGTTACAGCACCCCAAGTCTTTGGGAACGCTTTTCTTGTTTTGAGTGCCCCATGGGGCCTCTGAGGTTTGCGGTTTGCCTGAGGTTTCGATGCCTGCGCTGTGGGGCTGCTTCGACGTCGTGACCTATCCCATTCAGAGGGGGAGCGGGTGGCGAAATTATCGGCCGAAACACGCTGAAGACCTTGGCCTTTTGTACCCAAGGGCAAGCGAAAAGGACACCATCTCAGTAGCAACCATCTTCAGCTCGGGTTGGGCAAGGGGGCTTGTAATGTTGACCCCATAGCAAAATCAACCAACCGCTTTATTACTGGGGTGGCGGCACCTGCAACTGATTCCAGTTGGACGCCCCCCGATTAATAAACGGGTTGGTTGCTTTTTCTATGGGGTCAACATTAGACTGCAACCGATTCGAGGGCATTTCTTCAAAACGTCCCAAGCTGATCAGCGCTTCGCTGTCCGGTTCCGGCTCTCTCACTGGCGTCGACTCGTCGACTTCGGGGCGCTTCTTGTGCTTTTGCCGTTTGTTTCTTTAGACGGTTTCCCTTTAAAACCTAAAGAAAGGGTGCAAGGGCGCCCCGGTTTTTTTCCCCCCATGGTCCATGGGCTTCTGAGGGAATGACCCCGGAGCAATCTGGTAGAGAATCCGGGGGTGTTTCCCTCAGAAGCGCTAAATGGGACAACCTTCCCTAGAAATCAGGAGTTTGTGAATCCTGGATTTCCGTTAAAAGCCACCTTGACCGTACATGGGCAATCTTTGGAACGGTCAAACGTGTCAGTTTTTGTTGGGGGTATGGCAAGCAAATGTGCGGTAACTGGGCCTGCTGGTTGGGTATGCTAACTGATTGTTACTCACTGCAACCCTCCGACTCGCATAGAAAGCTATGCTCCCCTCCCCGGGAAGCCAATGGTGGGTAAATCCCACATTCCCCAAGAACAAGCTTCTCTCTGGAACGCCACTAGAGCCTAAGCTCATCGGCCTTAAGAGTTGCACGCTGTGTCCGTTTTGGCTTGGAACATCACGCTGGCGAAGCGAGCAACACGTGGGTATGGGTCAAAATTGAAGCGCCAGGAATTGGACCGCAGGTTTTAGTGCTTGGTTCCATTTACCAGGGCAAGCCATGTTGGGCACCTATTTTTGACCCACAGCCACGAGAACGTCAGTTCCAATCGACTCAATGTTTGAACCCATGAGTTGTAGAGTTGTACTGCCTCCTCGGAAGTGGTTGGTGGACACAACCACCTAAATGATGGACAACCTTGGCACTTTGTCGATGGGTTTAGGGAGGACGTGGAGCACCCCGTCTCCCCCCCTCCCAGAAAAACACCGGAGAGATCCATGTTTTCCATGTCAAAGAATATTTCCCCACATCTTTGTGTGGGGTTCTTACTTTTTCCGCTCGTCGTCCGCGCACCGCGTCTCCTCCTCCTTCTCCCGCTCGTCTCCGTCACTCACTCACTCACTCACTCACTCACTCACTCACTCACTCACTCTCACTCACTCACTTACACTCACTCAACTCACTCACTCACTCACTCACACTCACTCACTCACACTCAGTCACTCACACTCACTCACACTCACTCACACACTCACTCACTCTCTCACTCACTCACTCACTCACACTCTCGCTCACTCACTCACTCACTCGGCTGTCTAGAGGGACAGGATGTTGTCGCGCGCGCGGCGGGGGGCGTGCGAAATCGTGGCAGGCGCAGCACTTTGGCGATGCCGTTGCGAAATCGTGGCAGGCGCAGCACTTTGGCGATGCCGTTGCCGAAGTCGTGGCAGGCGCAGCATTCTGTGCATCTGGGTGTGTGTTTGTGTGGCAGGGGTCGCATTCGGCAGCTGTCTAGAGGGACAGGATGTTGTCGCGCGCGCGGCGGGGGGCGTGCGAAATCGTGGCAGGCGCAGCACTTTGGCGATGCCGTTGCGAAATCGTGGCAGGCGCAGCACTTTGGCGATGCCGTTGCCGAAGTCGTGGCAGGCGCAGCATTCTGTGCATCTGGGTGTGTGTTTGTGTGGCAGGGGTCGCATTCGGCAGCTGTCTAGAGGGACAGGATGTTGTCGCGCGCGCGGCGGGGGGCGTGCGAAATCGTGGCAGGCGCAGCACTTTGGCGATGCCGTTGCGAAATCGTGGCAGGCGCAGCACTTTGGCGATGCCGTTGCCGAAGTCGTGGCAGGCGCAGCATTCTGTGCATCTGGGTGTGTGTTTGTGTGGCAGGGGTCGCATTCGGCAGCTGTCTAGAGGGACAGGATGTTGTCGCGCGCGCGGCGGGGGGCGTGCGAAATCGTGGCAGGCGCAGCACTTTGGCGATGCCGTTGCGAAATCGTGGCAGGCGCAGCACTTTGGCGATGCCGTTGCCGAAGTCGTGGCAGGCGCAGCATTCTGTGCATCTGGGTGTGTGTTTGTGTGGCAGGGGTCGCATTCGGCAGCTGTCTAGAGGGACAGGATGTTGTCGCGCGCGCGGCGGGGGGCGTGCGAAATCGTGGCAGGCGCAGCACTTTGGCGATGCCGTTGCGAAATCGTGGCAGGCGCAGCACTTTGGCGATGCCGTTGCCGAAGTCGTGGCAGGCGCAGCATTCTGTGCATCTGGGTGTGTGTTTGTGTGGCAGGGGTCGCATTCGGCAGCTGTCTAGAGGGACAGGATGTTGTCGCGCGCGCGGCGGGGGGCGTGCGAAATCGTGGCAGGCGCAGCACGCGCGGCCGCGCGAAGTTGTGGCAAAGCGTTTTGGCGATGCCATCGTGGCAGGCGAAGTCTGTAATTGCGCATCCATACAAGGGGCGCACGGTACATGTGTGTGGACATTTGGGAAAAACATAGCATGTGGGGTTATCCGGTCCTTTAATTTGTTTATGTGGGTGTTTCGCAAGATGGTGACCCCCTTTTGGTTAGTAAAAGGAAAGCCAACCAGGGAACACTATTTTGAGACCCCCCCCCCCCCTCCGGTTGCACAAAATGGCGACCCCCCTCTCCTCGATCCCTCCCTCCCCCCAACTCCCCCCGTTGAACCAACCCCCCCCCAACCAACCCCCCCCCCCCCACTCCGCTCCTTCAACCAACCCCCCGCCAACAACCAACCCCCACTCCCCCACCCCACTCCGCCCCTTTGAACGGCCAGGAGTTTCTGGCGCGGCCTTTTCTGGCTCTCCACTGCGGCCATTTGGATCTTCGTCTGGAACCCCACCTTCTCCTCGTGTCTCAAGTACCTGGCGCACCGCTTCCGCAGGCCTCGCAGACCGGAACACACGAACCACGCACCAACGACCGGAAAAACCGGAAAAAGAACCGGCCAGGCGAGAAGCCCAGGAAACACCCGGAAATCCAAGCCAGAAATGGCGGAATGCAGGTTTTAGTCCTTGTTTCCATTTACCTTGTCTCATGGAAAATTAAATTGGGAAGCATTCAGAGGAATAGATTTTAGGCAGGTCAAGGCAAGTTGAGGCTCTTTTCGACCCACAGCCAAATCTCGGGAAATCACAGGGTTTCATTGCTCTTGCTTAGAGCATGGTTGGGCATCGGAAGCTGTCAACAAGGACAAGTCGAGAGGATTTCTGGTATCCTTGCCCGTTGATGGTAGAAACAATTTAAGTCCAAATTTTGGGTTGAACTTTGTAGATGCATTCCACTAATCACTCAAAACCCAAGTGATCGCCTGTGATATCCATCTACTTTCAACCAAACTGACCCAACGATCGGCTTTTTCGGGTCCCATGTTACAGAGTGGCTTCCGCAATTTTTTTTGTCCCCTCCCAGAAAGCACTGAGAGGAACCTCCCGGTTGCGGGGTCCAGCAAGTACTCCCACAACAATGTTTCAGGGATCTGGAGAGGTGTGTATGGCAGGACTCCCTATGCAAGAGAGTCACCAAAACCCCAGGACCCCAGGACATTTCAGCCCGTTTGTCAGATGGCCTTGCGGTGCCTTGGGCTGTTGAGACCTAAGTAGATGATGTCAACCACGATTCACCCCCATGTTTCTCTGGCTATCCTTCTGGCGCTTGAGTCTCCATTCCAAATTCAGGGCCCGGCCTTCCTTCTGAGCCATTCTGGATCCTTGTTGCCGGGTTTGACGGCGAAAAGAGACACCGCGGCGGGTTCAAAAGAAATGTGGAGTCGAACCGTAGAAAAATCCGGGCTTTCCCTTGTATGCGTTGCGACAATAATTCTGTCGTAGGATTGGCCAACCATCCAATTGAAACAGCTGAGACAATCACAATGGAATCACCATTTGGCAAATCTGGCTGGCAACCTATACTATCATGCTGGGGGTAACTGTCCTACTCTTGCCAAGGAAGCAGCTGCTTTTTGACAAGATAGTTAAGGGAACAATATGGCTACAACACCCCAGGGGACTGCCTACATTGGAAGCCCTGCCGTTGAGCTGATGCTTCGTCCCGGGTTGGAAGCCAATACCCCCACACCAAGAAGCATGGAAGTGCACCATGCAAGGCATGCATGGCAAGGCTTCTCTAAATCCTGCTTGCCTGCATGGATATCAGTTTTTTCGCACATGCCCGACCCATCAAGTAGCACGCATGGCTTTTGGTTCCTCGGCCTCTTTCCTAAACCGAAGCGGTTCCATCACCCCCCCCCCCCAGGGGTGTCACGGAATATGGCGGTAGTGGTCGATATACATACGCCCGCTGTTTCCCGCGCGGTGGTGGTTTAGAGGTCTTAGACCAAGAAAGGAAGGTCGCCTTCTACAAGGGTTCTTTGCATTCCCATGTTGGAAGATAGTCCACCGGGCAACTCCGGTGGTAAACTAATTTTGAGCCCTCCACTGGATGTTTGCTAGTTCGCTCTTTGGCTTGAACCATCATTTAAGCCTTTAGAAAGAGACCCGCCCCCCCACTAACTAGAAGGGGTAGTCGGAGTGGCAGAAGGTTGTTGGCCTACCTTAGCTGGTGGAAAAACAGGTCTGTGCAAACACCCGGAAACCGCTCACAACATTCCTTTCTGGAGATCTATTCCTTTGTGATTCATTTTGGCAAACCACATATGATGGATTCCACGAGGTTCAGTTGAGCTCTACCTGTGGAATCTATTTTCATGCACAGGGAAACCTTACTTGCCTATTCCACTAGTGAACCTTCGAACTTTGGTTGACAGCGTTTCCTTCTGATGTTGGGTTCTTTTTCATCGACTCAAGAGCCTGGATAGGGACCTCAAGACCTTTCGGGGGGTTCCGATGTGACACCAGCCGTATCACTTCCACAAACTCGATGGCTCTGGGCTTTTGGGGCTCCGTGAAGGAGGGCTCAGAACATCCTTCCCCCCCCTCCTCCCGCAGCACTTTTCCTGCCGTGCCTCATCAAGTCAGGGGCCGAAATGGATCGTACCCCCCACCCCCCCTCTGATTTGTTTCCCCTCTTAGCTTATGGTTCATGCAACTTGATGAAAAAAGGTACCCCCCAACCCAAATTCCCCCCCCTCCCCCTCCCCCCTCCACCCCTCCCCTAGCACCGGTCGCCGGGGGGGGGGGCCTGCTGGGCTCTGCTGGGCTGCTGTGCCCTGCTCACCTCCTCACCTCGCCAGGCTCGGCGGCTCGCGGGCGGAGGAGACCTGGCGCAGTGTGCTGGTGGTCCTTTGCGCGCTGCCGCTGGTGGCGTACGGCGCGCCTCGGCGCTGTTCGCGTGTTCGCCGTTTGCCGCGGCTGCGGGTTGCCTGGGGGGGGGGAAGAGGAAGCCGCGAAGCCGCGGAGTTTGTGGGGGTGCTGCAAACCGCCTAAAAGTGATGAAGCCCCACTCAAGCCATAGTAATACTTAGGGGTTGATAACAAACCTGGGTTGACGAAACCGGCCGTACTGCGGCCGGTTTCTCGCGAAATCCGTGCTAAAAACGATATCCAGAAAACAGGGTGGACACCAGCACGTTTGTCAGCATGTACAGGGGATCGAATCTGAAACCCAGGGATTCTGAGTTCGGTGGTGCGACATGGAAGTCGTCCACCCATTGTAGGTTCAACATCTCGGGAAGTCCATGTCTCAGTGTTGGAATTTATGGGTTCCCAGCCATCCCCAGAAAGGTTTTAGTTTTTTCCGTTGGTTTAGACGTTTTTTTGGTTTTCAGTTAGTGCTACTTTCCACGGAACCACTAAAGTTTTCGACTTTTTGCAGGGCATCGAAGAGGAACAGCCCAGAATTGTAAGATTGGAATTTCAATTGCAAAGGTTGGCCCTTGGTCCAGTGGGTCGGGTGTGGCTCTGTATAGGAATGGATGGCTTCAGGTGGTTTTGGATCAGGCAATGTGGGACCTGCCGAGAGGACGAGGGCGGCTTTGGTTTAAAGCGGATGTATGGAGTTCGATTATTATTAAAAAAATGTCGAGGGTGGATTGGGAGTGGCTTGTTTTTTTTTGGGGGTGAGTTTTCTGGTATGTTCCCACCCTCGTTGCCCTCCAGGACAGTTTTCTGCGAACGTTCTGCGAGTCGAGGCTGTTGTGACAACTCGTCTGGGCTTCGTGGGCGCGTCGCATGGGTGCATGGGAGTGCCATTTGCGCACGTCATCTGCGTGCGGGGTTTTGTGTGGCGTATGTGGACACAATGCGCTGCACGTGCGAGTGTTTTTTTGTATGCGAGCCGCTTCTGCGCGTTGTCCTGCGCCTATGGATCCGGCCCTGTTGAAAGAGGCTGCTCAGATCCGTAGCTCATGAACAGGGCTATCCATCGGAGTGGCCTCCGAAACTTGCATATATCACTCGGGACTCCAAGTGACGTAAGAGACTGTCGGAGTCCCAGGCTGAATCAACTGCTCAAGATGTGCCCGGCGAGCATTTCTCTTAAAGCGCTCGTGAGGGTTGCTGACCTTGTCCAAGCCACAGCCCAGTACTGTTTGAATCCCTGCTGTCTGAACTTGAAACTGTTCCACGGCTTTCAGTCGAGTTGACTGCACGAAGCCAACCAGACAAGCTTTGGCCAAGTTGAATGCGCGCAAGCTGAACCTTTTGAATCTACAAGCCTTTGAACGTGCGGGTGGTTGTGCTCGGGCGTGCGTGTAGTGGTCGTTAGGGACCAGATTTAAGTGTCTTGGGTGTTTCGGGCGCCTTTTCTTTTCGATGTGTGTCTTTTCAAGCTTGCCAACTTCCACAGATTCTCCCAGACTCAGTTGGCACCTGAAAGAGGGTTGTTGATGTTCCAAGCTGTTCGTGTCAAGGCACTAGACTTCTTTCCCCAGAAGGATTTGAGAGCTGGTGGTCAAGTCCCCATCTCACGCAGGCAGCTGCTAGCTTTCGTTCAGCCCTTTTCAAGTTCCACTGGCCCATTGTCGATGAACGAGCCCGTCTTTTTTTGTCTCCTGGGTTGTGGCGCGGCGTGTGTGTGTGTGTATCAAAATCGGGGAACCGAAGTAACCGGATTCCCATTTGGCTTCCGGACCATTCTATTAACCTGGCAAGTGACCGCACGCAGGGAACATGAAAGTAGCCATAGAGATATGCTCGCCTGCTTTTGTGCAGAATGTGCTGATATGACCACACAGGGTCTGGATATGAGGTCTTGCACGGGCTCTTCAAACAGAAGGGCACTGAAGGCTCCCACAGAAGATCTTCTGTGAGTTTCCGCGCAAGATTTCTCTGAGAAATTCTGCTAATGTTTCTGTAGACAGTCCTGGACAAGATCTCTGCAGAAGGACCCTTAGTCCGGAGGGCACACCAATCCAAAATTTCCGGAACTTGCGCGGCACCACGAGCGAGAGCGCACCCTCGAAAGACACCAAGTCCTCCCTCGCACTTTGTGCGAGCCGAGCCTGCGCAAACGAAATGCCCGGCCCAGAGCGAGCGCCCTGATGAGCATTCTGTCCCACACTGACCGTAAGAACACCCTAGTGTAGACTCACTCGCTGTTTGGGGATAAAACGTAACTCCGAAGAACTACTTGGCCATATCCTACTCATGAGTCTTTCTAAGTGGAGTTAATTTTATTCTTAGTGGGTTGGCAAACCACTTAGCCGGACATCCAAGTACAAATTTGGGGGTTTGCTCCCCTTTGCTTCTGGTCGAGGTGGCCGCTTTTTTGTTGGTCCGCGGCGCGCCGTGGCCCACCAACGCGAAGTGTGTGGCCTTGCCCTGCACGATGCTCCCCATGCTGCTATGCAGGGGCGCCATCTCCATCGGAACCTGAGATGAAACCGGCGGATTTGGTGGACTTTGTGGTTGGTCTTGACACTTTCTGATTCTACAGTTCACTGCCAGGTTCACTAAATTTGGACCGAATTCAAACACATGTTTTTGTGTTGGCGGGAAGCTGAGGGCACCTGGGTTGTTTGGGTGTCAGAAACTGACAGAGGGCTGTCAAAATGATGTTCCCCATCCAGAAAAGCGAGCCCCCAACCCTCCCAAGCCCCCCCAACACCCTCACCCCTTAACCCCCAACCAACCCCCCCAACCAACCCCCCCCAAACCAACCCCCCCAACCACCCCCAACCACCCCCAACCACCCCCGCAACCACCCCCCCCCAACCCCCCCAACCCCCCCTTTATTTCTCACCTCCTGCCTCAGTGAAGGCTTTTCGGCTGGATGACCACCCGTTTGATTTGGGGTCATCATCTGTGTTCGGCTGGGCTGTTCAAATTGCAATCCTCAGCTCCTTCCGTCGCAAACTTTGTCGTTTCCCAACAAGGAGTCTAAACCAGGATCCAACCCTCCCTTTTGAACTGCTCTGTTCATGGGATCCCCAAGTCGGCTCCATTTCCAGTTCGATCCCGATGGGCCTCTCTTGAAAGTTCCATGACGCATGACTGGCTTCCTTTTTTCCTTTCTTTTCGGGCGATCCGTTTTAGACGACCTTATGGGAAACATGCTTCGTCCCACGTGTTAGATTTTGCCCGGGCTTCCTCTGGTCCCAAAGGGAGATATGGCGGTGGGTCAAAATTGAACCAGCGGACCGCAGGTTTTGGTCCGTTCCACTTACCAGGGCAGCCCATTTTGGGTACATTTTCTTGATCCCACGGCCAAATACAAATACCATGAAGCAAAAGAATCAAGGCGGCGATTCCCTTTTTTGGCTTAAAAGAGAGTGCTACCAGAGTGGAACTGGTGCAAAGATGTCCAGAACCAGAACCATGGTGGTGCTCTCAGTAGGGAATGACGCCAAGTCCGGGTGTTGGGAATGAACCGGTTTTGGGGATTGTCTAGGACATCAAATCGGGATTCCATTTTGCATTTGCTGCCTATCGCACCAGCAAGCTATGGTACTATCTCATCACCCGTCTCTGAGGATCCACCGCTGCCCCGGCTCCGGACAACCTACCGGACCACAGACTCGTTCTCGGGGAGCCTGAGTGCCGGAAGCAACAGCGGCCTAGGACGAAGAGCAGCCTTTGAAGTCACTCAAGGTGAAATCAAAGGTCCAGACATTTTCTTCCCATGTGGGTGTGGCTCAAAAACAAGGAGTCAGAGGTACGCATGTTTTGGTCTTTGGTTCCATTTTCCAAGGTGCCATTTTGGTACCATTTATTTGAGCCGCAGCCATGTGCCTAGAACACTTGACCAACAACTTTCTTTGACCAGATCTGGCGATTCTTCTTTGCAGGGAATTAGGAGTATGGGAATGACTGAGACCCCGGGTTGAATTGATGGCAACGATTGCTGTGGTACTTCCCACACTCCCACTGAGATCAGGCAAGTGTTTTGAGCTGCCAACGCAGCAGTCAGATTTTGGAAAGTTTTGTGCGCCTTTGACGAGGAACTAGATCCGCAAGCGCGGTTCACATTTCACGTGACGTTAGGCTTACATCCCCCGAGTTTGACCAGTCGCAAACGACTCGGTCTTTTGATCTCGACGACTCCAGACCTGCGCAGTGTCTGGGGAAACCTGGGAATCGCTGGGCCCAACAAGGTTCAGCTTTTCCACTTCCCGGGGAGTTTATCGGTGACCGTTCAGGGTTGGGCAAATTTTGTTACCTTTTCCGCTTGCCGTCTGAAACCAACAGCTTGTCGACACCATTGAACTGTTTTATGGTGTCCAAGCCCCCAACCCTGGTGTCAGTGGGAAGATTCGCGTTGCGTATGGAGCGGCGAACAGCACGCGAGTCGCGAAAAGCGTTTGGGGAGGGCTGGTGCCTGGTGCTTAGTCCTAACGCTAAATGGGCGGTTCTCCTTTTGTTTTTACGGATTGTGGGTCGGCATTGGGGACCTTCTTTCTAGAAAGCAGTTTGGATGTGTCTTTTGTGGATCCCCTCTAGAATGTTAAGAGAGTACTAAAAAGATACTAAAAAGCAAGACCAACAGGGGAAGAACAGGTAAAATCCACAAAAAAACGCGTCCAAACTGTTTTCTAGACTTTTGGAAAAAACCCATGTAGACAGATACATGTCTGGTGTCCACCAGCATCGGCCAAAAAGTTGAAGCAGGGGGGGATATATATATATATATATACACATTTCTACATATATTGATTTGATTATTTGTTTATTTGTCTTTTTTTTTTTTTTTTTAAATGTATTTATCGATTTGTTTATTTATTTGTCATGAACCTCTCCCCCCCCCCCCCGAGGGAACCATCTTCACAAAGCTTAGCAAGCCTATAAAGAGGTTGGTAAAACCTGGGCATGCAGGGCGGGTAGGGGATATTCCAAGCAATAGAAACGGCCGAGGGGTAGATCCAAATTATTTCGGCAGACGGCTGACTCTTTCAATATTGGGTTTTGGCGGGCTTCCCTTGGTAAAACAATTGAGTGAATCAACCTAAGATCTGCAACCGGATTTGTTGTTTACCACTTAATTAAGTGCCGTCCCAAAACTTGTTGCTTGCCACTGAACTGGTCCCAAAACATGTTGTTTACCACTCAAATGGCAGTCCAAAACACTTGTTGTTTGCCACTTACATGGTGGTCCCAAAAACTTGTTGTTTACCACAAATGGTCGTCCCAGCAACTTGCTGTTTACTCCTAGTTGGCAATTTCGGTTCTGGCCATTTCGGTTCGGAGGTGCCACCAAAGCAGGATGGGTTTGTGGGGTCCATATTGATCTGGAGACAGACCGACAGAGAACGGTGAGCCCGGTGGAACAGAATGGGAAAACAATCGCTCCCTAGAATCACCACCCACGAAGTTCTGACGGAAGAATTGCCTGGGAACAGGGGACAATTGAAGTCGCCAGTTTCTTTCCGGGAGGAGCCGGACATGACCGGAGAGGCAGGGAACATGATCCAGTTTGTGTGGCGAACCAACCTGTAAATTGCTTATAAGCGCACCCCATTCGCGCAACACAACAAAAGGTAGCAACCCACCCCAACCCACCCCAACCCACCCCAACCCACCCCAACCCACCCCAACCCACCCCAACCCACCCCAACCCACCCCAACCCACCCCAACCCACCCCAACCCACCCCAACCCACCCCAACCCACCCAAACCCACCCAAACCCACCCCACACCCAACAATGACCCCACCCCAACCCAAGCACAAGACATTCAATACATTAAACAACAAAAACACCATAAGTTCAATCGGAGCAAAGAACTTCCACTCTCAGAATCCAATGTTCAATTCAATCCCCAATCCGCAACTTAGCCGCAATCAAACCCCCGGTAGATGAAGGATAGTACAGGATAGTCCCAACCGCAACTAACCCGCCTTCGAGGCCTTTCGAACTCTTCACATAGTTTTGTGTAGACCAAAGGGTCTACCCAAAACAATGTAAACAGTTTTTTTCTTCATTTTGTTTTTTAAACATATCGCTCGGTGTTGCTTATGACTCAACTCGCCTCCCCGGTTCTTGGAGCCGCCATGCCCTTTCTTCGAGCCGAGGATGGCGGCAGCTGTGCCCAGGACGTGGGCAACGGCGCACTGGACCTGCTGGTGGGGCACACAGACGAGTCCGGGTGGGATGCTGGGAATGAACCGGTGGGGATCTTTTGAAAGGAAACCAACCGGGTGAAACAACCCGCTGGATGGTGGGGGTCCTTCCGTTTCTAAGAAAACAACCAGTTGGATGGTTTGTGAAGTTCATTCCATTTCTCCTTCCCTGCTGAGAAGCCTTTTTTGGGGAGTCAATTTGTGACACAACTAAGTGACAGATAAGCGTTCCGCACGTCGGAGTGCACTGTGCCAATCCATTTGAGCAGCAAGGAGCTGGTCCTGCTTGACATGAGCGAATTGCTTTGTCAGAGCAGCACCGCAGACATTCGCTCGAGTGCCTTGGAAAGTTAAGCCATAGCCGCATGTCAGAGAGAGAGAGAGAGAGAACCAGTGCGTGCCGGCGACGGTGCATGTCAGAGTCCGTGCATGAAGTCATCGGAGTCTTAAATTTGCAGTTTTGGGGCCACATACTTTTCCTCTTCACCATTTTCCTTGCGACAATTCCACTCAGGAGAAGGGGACCCAGTTGAAGGGACGTTATCGCGTTTCTTTAAGTTGAAGAGGGCTTGTTTCAGGAAAAGACCATGCGTCGAGTCGTTCCTTCTAAGATGGTGTCCAAACCACGCACAGGGGTTGACTGGGCTATACAGCCACTTCCCACTGAGCCACGAAAGGGTATGGGCCCAGTTTTCCGCTTGGTGTGGGTAAGCCCAAGATTCATAGCAAACACCCCCCATTGATGAACCACGGGTCCAAGCTTCTTAGCCCACTTGCACCGGTCTTGATTAACCTAATGGGGCTATCAATTTCATCTTAATCTAGTACTTTACCAGGGATTTCGTAAACAGTCACAGTCTTTCAGATTTCTGAAAGTGGGGCTAATAATCCCTCTGCGCTCCCTCCAACAATCATGGAAGCTGACGATCTGAGAATTTGGAAGACTAGCTTCCTTTTGGGGGACCCTGTTGTCCACTTCCCTGATCGTTGGAAAGAGGGTAATATAACCGCCATTGTTTACCCTTCGGCCTTGTCATCACCTAAATTGGGTTTCAATTCGATTGTCATCACCTAAATTGGGCTCCAGGGCATTCTTTCCATCGGTTGAACCCTAGGGTGACCTTACTCTCCGATTCCTTTAAAGTCAACCAACCCGGAAAAGACGGATACCGATTCTTGTTTCGCCTGGCCACTGGGCATCTGAGCCTCAGTGGGCACCATTCTAGGGGTTGATTCCCCATTCTTTTCAACCATGGTTCTTTCAAACACCGGAAGTGTCCGCTAGAACCATCCTTCGATCAGGCCATGGCGGAGCCCGTGCCCTTGGGCGCCCGCCTTCGCGCGCAATCGGCGCCGCGCCGCTTCAGCGTGACGCTGCCGCGCCCAGCTGGGAGCTATGAGGAGGGCGCCCCTTGGCCAAAGCGAAAACCAAGGACTCCGAGGTTTGACTCGCCGCCAAACCTCCGATTCGGCTCCAAACCAAGAGGGAAGCTGAGTATCTTCCACACTTTCTTCAGAGTTGATTCATTTCCCCTGTTCGTTTCAATGGTTTTGAAGGGACTGCATCACTGCACAGATGTTCTGATTTATGGGATGAACAAAGCAAATGGCAGGTGAGCAGTTCCAAGAGGTGCAAATCGGAGAGTCTGGCATCTGACCTGCCGTACCTGGAAGATGCAGGTCCTCTTCAAGGCCCCAATGTGTCAGGTGCCATGTTAGTGGGAGGGAGGGTATGTCTGCTTGGATTCTTGGTTCAAACAACGAGGATTGCCATTGTCACGGGTTTTGGGCATGAAACGCATCCCAAAACAGCAATGACCACTGTGATAATTACAACAGAAAGGGCTTAAGACCAACACCCCCCATAAGGGGGCTGCGGGGGATAAACCCCTTGTGGTCCGCAACCCTGTCCCTTAAGGTTTGGCGAGGTTTGGAGGTGAAGTTTGGGCTGAAAGGCCAATTGGTTCAGATCCCAAGAGCTACCCTGCCACAAGTGCTACTGTGGATGGACAACCTCCTGCACCACTTTGAAACCATGGGAATCCATTGTCTGTTGATATTTACATGGGAATCATCATTCCAGGGTTTCTGAGGTGGTGTCGTCCATCCACAGTTGGCTAGCGCTCATCATGTTTTTCGGGCCCGACGAATTCCCCGAATGTCACCCCTGACAGGTAAATGGCCTCCAGAGAAAGTTGATCTGGGTATCCTCCGACGCTGTGTGGGCGGAGGAGTAGAATGGAGGAGACTTTCAAACCAAGTTGAGTCGCAGAAGAGAATCATGTGGTGCATGATTTCGTTTGTTATTTTTGGCGTTTTCGGGTGGCGGAACAGCAGAGGGGACCATCTTGTAAAAATGACTGGTGCCGTGTCAGGGTTGCTCCGCTCACAATGTCCGAATCGTGTCGAAAAGTGGCGAAGGGTTTTACTTGGTTTCGTTCTTCGAGCAAATTGAATTCCGTTTGGTTTGAACAGACCTCACCCAAGTCTAAATGCCATATGCCCGCCGATTGGGTTTAGGGTTT